TACATCATTTACAATGTTGAACTTTGTATTTTTCACAATGGAAGTATATGATTTTAGCAAAGCATTTTCCATTTTACCAAGAGTGACATATTTATACTGAAATCCTAATAATTAGGAAATGAATTTATCAAATATAAGTTATCTTCTAGGAAATACTTGTGACTGTGAGGTCAAATAACAATAATGGCAATTTAAAGTGCAATATACAGTATCATAGGTAGTATTACTATACTGGAGTTGTGTTTTTCTGAAATCAAATAAAATCCAGTATCATTTTCTTTTTTTCTCTAAATGAGTTTATAGTAATTTTAATACTCTTTAAGTCAATTTTTGTGGAATTATAAAGGCAAAGACATAATGCAAATGAGTACTACAGAAATTTCTGCCATTAGAGTCCAAAAAACTTCTCATCAAGATTACTGATTTCCCCCCACCCCCATTCAAGTCACTTTGTTTTTAATAATCTGACAGTGTAATTCACTGTAGGCAAACATACTCCTTTTCAAAGAGATGTGACCATGATTTTCTCCCCCAAACGTGATCGAGGCTGGACTCCAGAAAGACACAGGCGTGGAAACCAGGGCTACCAGGCTCCCAGACTGCAAACTGGGAAGCCTCCGAGAGGCAGCAGGTGGCAAGACGAGACGTGAACTACGAGGGGCCTTCAGAGAATCAGATGCGGCTGCTGGGTCATGAGCACCTTGAAGCCTTTCTTGATGGTGATTCAGTGTCTCGAGTACTTACCATCTGGGGAGAATTGCACAGGATGGGCTGAACACGTCTGTTGTCCCATAGGGTCAAACTTCTTCAGCGTATATATCCGTTCTCGCTCCTCGTTAAGATACTACAGGAGAAACATTGCCACACTCTATGCTAGAGATTGCAACTACTTCTCCAGGAGCGACCACTCCGTCTGCCAGATCGCCTCACATGTTTGTCAAGATTACTGATTTTTAAAAGTTAACTGCAACTGGAATAATATGTTGGAATGTGATCTTTTCTAAACAGGGAAAAAAATTAACTAATGTTTGAATATTTATTGCCTTTTCCTTTGCCAAGATAGTAAAGAAGATTCCATTGGATTTTTTCCACCTGCTTTGATTTCTGAAGTTTTAGGCAGAAATAATTTTCTTTCTTTTTAAGGCAATATGGAGGACCAAGAAAAAATTCTTGTTGGTAAGTGCCCAGGGTCAACTATGACTCAGCCCAACCTTATGATAAACAGGTCTGAACTTTGTCCTATCTTGTGCCATCTTTACGATCCCTGCTAGGCTCAAGCCCATAACTGTAGTCACTGTGTTAATCCAGCTTGTTAAGGATCTTCCTCTCTTGTTGGCCCTCTATTTTCCAAGCCTTTAACTGAGGACTGGCCCCTCTTGGTAAAATGCCCAAAGTATGTGAGAAGAAAGGTCACCATGCTTGCCTCTAAGAAGTTTCACCCTAGTTGTATTTCCTTCAAAACAGATTTATTTGGGGAATTTTGGCAGTCCATGATATTCAGTACTCTTTACTAATACCAGAATTCAAAGGCATTGATTCTTCTTTGGTCTCCCTTATTCATTATCCAACTTTTAGAGGATAGGAAGCAATTGAAAGTATCGGGCACACCTTAGTCTTCAAACTGATATATCCTTGCTGTTAAGTACTTTAGGGAAGTCCTTGACAGCAGATTTCCCCCTCTGCAATACATCTTTTGATTTCTTGACTGCTGTTGCAGTGGGTATTGATTGTGGATCCAAGTAAAATGAAATTGTTGACAACTTCAGTCTTTTCTCCATCTATCATGATGTTGCTATTGGTCCAGTGGTTAAGATTTTTGTTTTCTTGATGCTGAGTTTTAATCCATATCAAAAGCTGATAGTCTTTAATCTTCTTCAGCAAGTGCTTCAAGTCTCCTTCACTTTCTGCATGTAAGTTCTATCTGCATAGAAGAAAGGTAGGGGAATATTTTCCGATAGTTTATTAAAGATGGACTCTGAGAAGCTGGAGGTCTGAGGGATGTATATAGAAGAAAGATGGATGTTTTAAGAAATAAAAACAGTAATTATAAATTGTTATTTGATTGCCTTCAGGTTCTTCTGACCCCGACATAGATTAAGAAGAGAAATGGGTTACAGACTTAATAAAAGTGGCAGTTATTTAAAGTTTAATATAATGTTTAGTGTGAGGAAAACATTCTAACATTCAATAGAAGATATTGCCACAAGGTGACATTTAGTTCTGGGTTTCCCCCCCTCCCCCATTTTTGTTGAGCAATATTTGCTATTCTAATTTTTTTATTCTGGCTTTTTAAAAATTTTTATTAATTTTAATGAACATTTACAGAGATTTTGGATTTCCATTCATTCATTGTTGCTCTTTTCTCCCTGCCCACCCCTCCCCACCAGTTCACTCTTCTCTTTGAAAAGTAAAAGAAAAATTCCACTGCATACACTGCAGCCTTCATTCTGGACTCTTGTCATGAAAATAATACCTAATCATAAATCCTTTTAAACAGTTCTCTCCCTCATCTATTTCAATGCAGTATACATAATTTATCTAATCTTTCTCAGTCTCACCCCTACCCTAATGTCAGTCCCGTTCTACAACAGTGGCACTATGCAGTGTTTGTCGTTTTGTGACTGAGATATTTCACTCAGCATAATGTCCTCCAGGGTCACCCATTTTGAATAATATTGCATGAGTTCCTTGTTTTTCAATGAAGCATAGTATTACACTGTGTGAATATACCAGAGATTCTCTACCCATTTGTTTGCTGATGGGCACTTAGATTTTTTCCAACTCTTTGCTATTGTGAACAACAATATTTGCTATTCTATTAAAGAATAAGTTATGATGCTAATTTGAGATCTGCTCTTCTTTATGATTTTGTTTTGTTTTGACTCATTCATTGTTGCACATTTTCCTTCCTTCCTTCACTTGTTCTCACCCTCCCCCAGTCCACTTTGTAATATTCCTTTTGTTCCAGATTATTGTCATATATATAATACCTAATCGTACATTCCTTTCAGACAGTTCTTCCTCTGTTCCAGTAGCTGTTCTTTATCTTAGAATGAATGTTATGTTCAGGGTTTGGGGGGGGGGGGTCCTTCTTCTGGGATGTCTAAGCATTTTGTTGAATTAGGAAAAATGAAAATAGCGAAAAGTAGAGTAAAATTCTATTCCAATGTGTTTTGCTAAGTCTATAATTTCTTCTTTTGTTCTGTTATTCTTTGTATTCTATACTCTTACCAAAGCAGTGAATATTTGCTTTAACCTCAATCTCAACTAATTGCAAATTGGAATGGACTTACAGCTGACACTCCAAAGAGTTTTCAAAAACTGCAAATCCCATTGGAAGAGATTTGCCCATCTTACTCCCAGAGAGCACCTGGTGAATTCAGACTGTCTGCTTTTGGGTTACCAGTTTAATTCCCTACCCACTAGGCTACCAAGAAACTCTTAACAAACAAAACCAGAAAACCTCCTCATTGCCACGGAGTCAGAACTGAGTCATAGCTGACACTTCCTTGGGTTTTCAGAGGCTATAAATCTCACAGGAAGAGATTGTCCATCTCTCTCCTGAGGAGCTGCCGCTGGATTCAAACCACTAGATGCACTACCTTTGGGTAAATATAAAACCACTATTTTTTAAATAATCAGGTGTCACATCAGTTCTTCATGATCTAAGTGGTAACAGTTAACATGGCAATTGGTTTTTATCTTAAGTATTGTTTTAAAATTCAAGACTAAATTTGCCAAAATACCTGGAGTAAAAGATTACCTAGAGTAAACTTTCACCTGGTTATTTATAAGTGAGTAATAGTTAATATTATCTGTATATATAGTATAATCATTATATGCCATTCCTACATATACATATATATTTATAAAAGCAAGCAAATATTTTTATAGCTTTTCTGTGTATCTAACAAAGTATTAAGAAATGTTTGCTTTATTGGAATGCACTTTAAAAACAGTAGTTAAGAGCTTGGCTATTACTGAAACATCAGTGGTTCAGACCAAGCTGTTCCTTGGGGAAAAATGACTTCCATAAAGATTTATAGCCTCATAAATCCTATAGGGCAATAATATTCTGCCCTGAAGGTCACTGTGAGTTGGAATTAACTCCATAGCAGTGAGGGAGTGTTTTGTTTGTTTGTTTTGTTTTTTTATCCAACATTTCTATAAAGCTAACTACCTTAAAAGATTTGATATTATTTTGGAACAAAATTGCAGTGTAGGCAAAATATTCCTTAAAAGAAAGAATCACAAGATTTCCTCTAATGTATATTCTAGAAAGTTTAGTAGATAGTCAACAATTAAGAGGAGTATCTTAAGTGAGATTGACTGAGACATCAACTTCAACAACACAGACTTAATCACCAGAGAGAGGGTAGCATAAGATCAGACAGCAATTTGTTCTGCTCTACATCAGGTTGCTATGAGTCAAAACTGCCTCAACTATATCTCACAACAATAATAATAGAAAAGATGGCCCCTTGGATTTTCCCACAGGGAACCTATTATATACACCTAGTTTTCCATAGATCAGAAGGATGGCATCACAGTACCCTTATTTTGTGAAAAGTATAAATTGAAAAATGTTGGAAATGTATAGGAAGTAAACACTACATCAGCTATGCCTTTTATTTGTATCATGATCTTCTTCTATGTTCTTTTTTTTTTTACTATCACTAACATTCAAATTACAAACAAAATGAAGTTGGAGATTCAGTAATTTGATAGTTAAATTATTTTTTTAAATTTTATTATTTTCGTGTGCATGTACCATCAAATCAGATCTGTCTGGTACAGGAGGAGATTGTCCCTCCTTCCCCGGCAGAGCATCTGGTGGATTCGAACCATTTGCCTCTGGGATTGTAGTTGCAGGTACTTGCCACTAGGCCACCAGAGCTCCCCAATAGTTAAATTCTTAAATATGTGTACATCTAATGACTTTGCAAACTAGAAATATCTATTATTTGGAAACTAATTTTCTGTACATCATTTTCTTGCAGGAAACAAATCACAAGACAGTGGCATAGCAGAGATGGAAGAACTTCCGGTACCACATAACATAAAGATAAGCAACATTACCTGTGACTCATTCAAGATTTCATGGGAAATGGACTCAAAATCAAAGGACCGTATTACACACTATTTCATTGACCTCAACAAAAAAGAGAACAAGAATTCTAACAAATTTAAACATAAGGTAAAATCTTAACATGCTGAAACATTACAATACTTGATGCTATGGAGTTGATTCCAGTTATGACAAATCATATGACAGTTCTTCGGCACCTTAAAAACATTCTATCTAAACATAAGGACATTTTGATAGAAATTATTTTTTTCTAATGATTTATATGATTTATTTTCACATTGTTTACGGAAAAAATATATGCAATTTATAAAACCTATTCCTCTAAAAATTTTACAAAGAATTGAAAAGCCATAGATATTGTTAAAAGAAAATTTCACAAAATGTGGTAAAATTATGACTCATAAATATGTAAATGGAAATGTGTAATAGTTTTATTTAGTTCATTAATGAAGAAAACACTGAAGTGTTAGCAATCAGTTAAAAGGATAATCCTAAGAACAAATATAGGTCAGAAATGGTGAGATGCGTGTGCAAATAGAGACAAAACTGGTTTTCTAATTGGAATAAAAAGTCAGGAGTTTTGTTTCTCTGTTGGATAGAATTCTTCCATGTTTTTAGATAAAAGTTACAAATTACAGAATAATAAATTAGCTCCCTTGGAGTCAGAGCAGATAGCCAGCAGAGTGTGCTATGGGCACAGTTTCCTCCTTAAGCACAGCTGTTCACCATGATAACTGCCAAAAGAGGAATCTGAGTTTCTACGTTTGTTTATAAACTTTGGGATACATCTATTACAGCACCTTAAAACCAGCTATGTTTTATATAATAAATTTAACCTTTTAATATTTTACATTATATTTCTCTGATATTTGGTCCTATACCTGTCTAGATAGCACCTATCTCTTTTGATAAATATCTCACTCCACAGATAACTATAAAAAGAGTAATTATTATGTGGTTAGATGCCATTTCTTATGCTCCAGTGTTCTTATCTATGATGAACAACTATTTCCCCTTCATTGGTACTGTTTTGATTTGGAATATCTTTTGATATAAGAACTATAAGATGTTACTGTTGTTGTTATATGCAGTTGAGTCAACTATGACTCATAGTGACCCTATGAACAAAGGATCTGAACCCTGTCTTGTCTGTGTTATCCTCACCATCTCTGAAATATTGTAGAAATGCAATTTAGATACTAATTGCAATTTAAAGATAAGTGAGAGAGAAAGCAAGCTGATAGTTATTCTTTATTGCTTGTTCCAGTTCTGATTTGCTTTCTGGTGATGGATATTCTTTGTCAACACTTCCCTTTTGAAACATCTTTGAAATACGTAATATTAATGATGGATAGGTCAAGAGATGAGCCCTTTTCTTTACATTTAGACTATCATATCCTTGGCAAATATGGTGATTACCCAACCAGGGGTTTTATTTGTCTTAATAATAATTGTTTAGAAATACTCAAAACTTTTCTGTGCTGCAAAGGTTCTGTACTTGAACAGGGGAGCTCTGGTGGTTTAGTGGTAATGAGCTGTACTGTCAACCCAAAGGCATGAGGTTAAAATCCACCAGCTGCTTTGTGGGAGAATGTCAGGCAGTCTGCTCCCATGTGATTTACAGCCTCTGAAAACCTGCTTGATTCAGCAATGAATTGTTCTGACTCAAGGTACATAACACTAGCAACAACATACTCAAATAAAAGTGAAACAAAGGTTACCTCATTTGTATGTAAAACTGATTTTTAAAATTTCAAAATACTATAAAAGTTCTATTTCACATATGAAATGTATAAGCAATGCTAACCTAGTAAAATTATTGAGTATTATAAATTAAGAAAATACTTTAAAATACTGCATCTATTGAATTTTATGTCTTACTTTAAATTTTATCACTTAATATGAGCATGTAATGTTCTTAAGGAGCACAGTATACAAAGAAGAATGTATGCTGCTTTCAAGTTGGTTCCAGCACATAGCAGTCCTAAAGTACAAAGAGGAACCACCCCATAGGGTTCTTTATGAAGTATACTATTATATTTTTCTGTCACCAGGTAGCTGGCCGATGCAAATTGCTAGCTTTTCAGCTAATTCTAGCACTTAACAAACTTTAAAACAAAGAATTATACTTCACTAAATCAAGAAATTTGAAATTTAAGTACATTTTGTCATTACCTGTATAATCTCAAGAGAGTCATTTAACCAATTGTACCATGTTGCTGTTATGTGTCATGGAGTCACCTATAATTCATAGTGACTGTACAATAGCTCTGAATTCTGCCTATCCTGAGCCCATCTCACTGACCCCAAGGCACCAGCCCCTATTTGCCCAGTTACTGTGTCAATCCAGCTCATCCAGGGACTTTCTCTCCTTCATTGTCCTCCGCCCTTCCAGGCATGGTGTCCTTCTCCAAGCACATATGCCCAAAGTATATGAGACAGAGCCTTAAAATCCTTGCCTCCAAGGAGCAGCTTAGTTTCACCCTAGGACAGACCTATTTGTTCTGCTGAAGGTCCACAGTACGTTCAATACTCTTCTCCAGCACCACAACTCAAAGGCATTTAGTCTTCTTCTGTCATTTTTAGTCCTTGTCCAGGTCTCTGATGCATAGCAAGTAATTGTGAAGATCGTGGCTTTGGTCAGGTGCACCTTAGTCTCTATATTGACATCATTACTCTTTAGGACTTTGGAGAGTTCCCTGACAACAGACTTACTTTCTACACATGAAGGAAAAGGGATTTAACTAAGATAATTTTAAATTTTTTTCAAACAGGAAAATAGTCAACCAAGAATTTAATGTTTCTCCTCATCATTTAAAAGTAGTTTCAGCTATACTGCTTAATTTTGCTCCCTTCCGTAGGATGTTCCAACAAAACTGGTGGCAAAAGCTGTTCCCTTGCCTATGACCGTCCGTGGACACTGGTTTTTGAGCCCAAGAACTGAGTATACCGTAGCAGTACAGACTGCCTCAAAACAAGTTGATGGTGATTATGTTGTATCTGAATGGAGTGAAATTATAGAATTCTGCACAGCAGGTAAGAGATTGATGTACAAATACTGAAATTATAATAAATTTTAAAAGCTAGGATAGAGTAGGGTTTAGGGGCTTAGGGCTGTTGTACATAGGGTTGCTCTGACTCACAGGCGACTCGACGGCACACAACAGTTATATAAAATTATTTCTCTTTTAAATTATAAGTTAAAATATATTGCATCATCATTTTTACATTGTCAGTAGCATTCTGTATAGAATAAGCATACAGTTTAAATAGGAGGGGTTTTAATAGCAAAAAAGGTGGTTCATGGCATCCAGTTACTTTGTTGCATTCATATATTGATTTTTCAGAGGGAAAGTTTTACAAATAAAAATTGATGGCAGTTGAAAATATAGTCTGCATAATTTTAGAGCATGTGAATTTTCTGGTTGGTTTTTTGTTTGTTTGTTTCCCCATTTCCTTCCATTTTTTCACAGAAATTCAAAGAAGGAATTGAGGAACATCGTTCTCCAATTTGGAGGGGGAGGGAGTATATCTGTGAATGACAAATACTATTGAGATTTTTTTCCACCTGAGGGCTGGGAAAGCCGAGAAAAGCCCCCTTTAAGCTACTGCCTTCCATATATGTGTGTCTTTTCAGTGAAGTGTCTGCACAGGCATTGAGAGTTCTAATGTACACAGTTGCCTCTTTTATTTCATTAAATTGGAAATGTTCCCATCCCATTCATTTATTTACATATTCAAGAAACAGTCATTTATTGAACATTTGTATCAGTGCTTTCTGTACATTAGTATTTTGATAGATGATAAAAAGGCACAAAAATCACTCCTTCACTCCTCCTGAGCACAACTGTCACCCTTCCCTTATGTCTGCTTGGTTTTCTATTCTTTTTCTGGTTTATTGTTTGCCATAAACAATTGTAGGGAAAGGCTATGTGTATGTTTGAACATTAAGGAGCTAGTGAAAAAAAGTCTAAAAAAATTCCCCTTACGTATCACAGGTCACTTAACAACTTTCCCTAGCTTTAAATAAATCAGCTTTTTCCCCCCCACGGCTTCACACATACAGTATTTTAGACCTATTGCATGTTTAGCCACTGCTGTATCTTAGTATATCCTGTTTTTTCTTAATCTCAAACTCAGTATTGAAATTATATTGATATGTTAATGGATAAAATTATATTTTCCTTTATGTGGATTCTGTCTTATCTTCAACTTTTTAATATTTGTTTTATTCTATGAGGAAGTTGCAAAAGATCACATTCCTTTACTTAAATTCATTTTGGGGAAAATACTGCCAATATAACTGTTTTCTCACCATTTTATTGTCAAACATACCAAGATATGAAAATATGAAAAAGTACATTTTAGAAGAAATGAAATATGATTTTGATCATAGTTCAGTAATCAATAATGCATATATACAGTTTATCATATTGTATTAATGGTAGTAAGTAAATAGCTCTTCCCACTGACACAACTGTTACCTGTGTTTTATGTGTCTTACTAGAATTTGTACTTTTTCTTGTTGTTTTCTTGAATTAGATTTTCTCTTAGGAACTTCTTCATGTTTACTCTTTCTATTGCATTTCTTTCCATTCATTTTCATTGTACCTATCAGCGAGGTTTAAACCAAATTACATATGTGAGTACAGTTTCTTTTGACATCGTCTTAATTCTGGTGACCTAATGGTAAGATGTTGACCTACTTCCTCAAAGGCAGGCAACTTGAATCCAGAAACTACTCTGAGGATAAGATGGGCAGTTTCCGCTCTTGTGACATTACAGCTTCTGAAAACCCACTGGAGAGTCAGCTATGAGTCTGTTCCGACTCAATGCCACAAACAACAAACACACTTTTCAAATAAAGCTGCACTGAACAAACAGTATCACAGTATTTATCCACTTAACAGATTCTAATTTACCTACTAAAACCTCCTTTAACATGTGGAAATGTATGAAATATTTCTTTAGCTTAAAGAAAACTTTTTATATTCCTAGTTCGCACACACGAAACAGGCAAGCAAGCAATAAAAAGATTTTTTTTTAATATCTTAAAAGGAGAAGTGGGTTTTTTTAGTCCCCAAACCTCACCGCCATTGAATCGGAACTGAGTCATGGCTGATCCTCCAGTGTGTTTTTGGCGGCTGTGAATCACAGGAGATCTGATAACCTAGAGGATAAAGAGCTGCACTGACGGCCCATAGGCATGAGATTGGAACTCACTGCTCTGCCTGAGAAAGATACGGCATTTCCTCCTCCTGTGCTATTTACGGTCTGAAAATCCACTGGAGGGCCAGCTGTGAGTCAGTTAGAACTCAGTGAGAAATACTGTGTGCTGTCGGAAGCAACTCATAGCTCATGCTGCAGAGGATTTTCGGAGGCAGTAAATCGCACAGGAGACTGCCTGCCCTTCTCCCGCACACCAATGACAAATCACCTCCGAGAAGATTGCCCATCTTTCTCCTACCGAGCTGCTGCCACCTGCGGGTCAGCAGCACAACTTGCCATGGAAAAGTCCTTGACAAGTTGAAATCCTTTGCTCTTGACTGCCTCCCCACACTTTGTTTAGAGTTGAGAGTTACTTCCTCTTTGATAACATAATAGATAAGACCTTCTGACTTTGTATCAAAAGTGGCCTTTTCAAGGAATAGGAAGGGAAACTGTTGTTGTGTGCCATCCAGTCACTTGGGACTCATAGTGACCCTATGCACAACAGCCCTAAACTACCTGTCTTAAACTTTAACTGGGTTACTGCTAGATTTGTTTTGTTATTTCCTTCTTTTGTTTTCGAAACTCTTTAACATGATGTGCTGAAAAAAACTACCTTTCTTTCCTAGCAAAATGTATTCCTCTAAGACCATTCAGATCAAGGAGGCCAGCAATTGCCGAGTGCAGACATTCTGAAGTATCTTTCATTAGGAAGCGCAGGAACATAAGCTACATAAATAGCAGAGAATTCAGATAATCCAGGCAACCCAGGTGTTCCTACTGACAATTCCTGTGCTGAGTTGTCCAGATAGATGCTATCTTCAAAGAGGAAATGATGATGCTGGTCTTGTGATGGATTCATAGTGGTGGTGGTGTTAGGTGCCATGAGTCTGCTAAGACTCATAGTGACCCTGTGAACAACAGATTGGAATCCTTCCCTATCCTTACTTGGTTGTTGTTGTTATGTGCCGTCGAGTTGCCTGCGACTCATAGCGACCCTATGGACAATAGCTCTGAAGCCTGCCATATTCTGAACCAGTCTCACTGACTGCAACACATCTACCCCGTTACCACAGTTACTGTATCAGTCCATCTCCCCTGGGGTCTTCCTCTTCTGTGCTTTCCCTCCACCCTCCCAAGCATGAAGTGCTTTTTTCCAAGGACTGGTCCCTCCTGGCCACATGCCCAAAGTATGTGAGATGGAGCTTCAAAATATTAAATACAATGCCTATGAAGTACATTGGCCAGGACTAGAACCTGGTGTCCAACATGGACCTACAGATTCAAAGGTCCTCATGATACTTCTCAGAATAAGTTCTAATTGCCTATATATATTTGTTCTTGTGGATTGTTATTTGAGACAAAGAATAATACCTTTTATCTTTTAATCTAATAATTTAATTTTTCATAAGTTGTCATGCTTGGGAGAGTGGAGGGATAGCTCACAAGAGGAAGACCCTTGAGATGGATTGATTCAGTGACTGGGGAAATGGGGGTTGGTGTGTCAGAGACAATAATATTGGCACAGGACAGAGCAGGGTTTAGGGCCACTGTAGGGTTGCTATGAGTCACAGGTGACCCAAATGCACATAACAACAACAGCAGCGGCAACTTAGTACATAGTATGTTCTAGTGTGAATAAATGCGTGTTGAGCCACTTAAGCAGTGAGCTAATGAATAAATGAAGCTCAACAGATTGCTTTTTAGAGGGAAAATATTACTAATATGTATAAGCTTAAATTTTTCCTTTACTTTTGGTTTAAATTTAATTTTACCAATTTTGGTATAAATTTTTTCCTTTTAAATTTGGTATAATTTGGTTGGTTTCACAATAATTCCCAGACAATTTTCAAATCAATAAGTTGTCCCAAAGAATCCAATAACTTCTTCAAAGAGATGGAAAAGGCAGTCTCCAGTTTCATTTGGAATGGAAAGAAGCCCAGAATAAGCAAAGCACTCCTTAAAAATAGAAAAAAGGTAGGAGGCATCTCACTCCCTGATTTCAAATCCTACTACAAAGAATCAAATAACTTGGCCAGGTGCTTTAGCTTTTGATGTTTCTTTGGTATTCAAAGGGCATCATTTAAGCACTACTCACTGTCAAGTCAGAACCTAGTCATAGCTGCCTCTCCGGTGGGTTTTGGATCCTAAAAATGACATAGGAAGAGATTGCCCAACCTACTCCTGTGGAGCAAATGGTGGATTTAAATCACCTGCCTTTGGGTTGGCAGTGCAATGTTTTACCTACAAGATCACTAGGGAATAGATTAAATGATATTATTGATCCTTTTCAGTTTTGCTATTGTCTGAGGATTATAAGCTTTTTCAACAAGAAAAGCTGGAAAAATGCTTATTAATATTACTTGGGTTGTGCAGAATCTGCATTTCTCATTTACATGTTTTTATCTTATTTTTATGGCAATAAATTCAAGTAAGCACTAGTATGCTAGCCTTTACCATCTACTCAGGCCTATACAACTCCTGCCCCAAGGATTTTGCCTTCCCTGAAACCCCTCTTCACCACCCCTTCTTCTCTGGGGCCCTCCTTCTCTTGAGTCCTTCCTCACAGCCTCATCCCTCTAACCTAGAACTCTTCCTTACTCTGCCCTTCTTCAAACTCATTCCGTATCCCTATTTCCCTGGAACCCTGTCCCAAGGGAAAATACAGAAAAGAAGGTAAAGAAATGTAAAGATATTTTAAGAAATGACCTTAATACATTATACAAATATTTTTAAATGTATCACACAAAGAAAATGAATGTTTTATTTTTTCAAAAGCAGTTTCCAATTCCCTAAAGGTATATGCATCTCTAATTTACTAAACATGCAGGAGGTACTTTAGAGATGTTTTTAGTAACAGCCTTTTTCTTATCATTTTCAGACTATTCAAAAGTTCATCTAACACAACTGTTGGAGAAGGCTGAAGTCATTGCGGGACGTATGCTTAAATTCTCTGTTTTTTATCGTAACCAGCACAAAGACTATTTTGACTATGTTCGGTAAGAATGAAAAAATATATAATAATTTATTTTACTAAATAGCATTCTGAATTTGACGCCTTATTTCCCTTTGCTTCTAGTTCTATCAAAATAGTAATTGTAATTTTTAAAAAAATTATATTGTTCTACTTTTATTTCCTAGAATAGGTATAATGAATTTTAAGAATTCCCATTTTATTTAGATCCCTTTCTATAATCATTTGAAACATTAATCCCTATATATTTTAACTTCAGTATCTTAATTTTTCATTGTTTTATACTGATGAGGTTTTATACACACATTCCTTCTAGAATTTTTTTCATGAGCCCCTTTTAGATACTGAAAATGAAAGAATGAAAGGGGGACTATTTAGTGAAATAGTGTGGTGAATACCACGTGGGGTTTGGAGGCTTCTAATTGAAAAGCCATAGCTATTATCTTGGATTAATTATGGAATAGGACAATCTCCTTTGATTTACTTTTGAGTTCTAGACCCACTAGTGATTTGACTAAGATTGCTTATGTTTATCCCTGGAAGCAGATTCCAGATAGTCAAATGGACTCAATCCCACAGGTTTTTTTTGGTTTTGTTTGTTTGAGGGGTTTATTGGTTAGCTTTTTTTTTTTTTTTTGGTAGAGTTTATTAAGAGAATAACATATTACATTTGCAGTTTGGGAACACCCAGGATATCATTCTTTCCAGGTGTGCTTGCAGACAGGCATCAGTCTCTGACACTTGGTCTTGTAGCCTGATTTCTATCAAGTTCAAGAAAGTATTACAAAGCTCTTTGTATGCACCACCCCCACTCTGCTGGCAGGCACTTGACCAGTGGTGCCTGGCTCAAACTTCAAAGGTCAGGGACCCACCTGCTTCAGCAAGTGCCTGCAGGGCCTGTTCTGCCAGTTAGCACTCAGTTCCAAAATTATTAACTGTGGGCAGGCATTCTACAAGAGTAGCATTACAACACCTATTTTTATCCTCCTACTTTGATCCTTTTTACAACATCAGGATTTCTTTCTGAAACTTTTCAGGACACTCTTCATTTTGATACTACATTCAGAATCCTTTGTTATCTTTGTCTGGTCTTTGTGGACATTATCTTTCAGTCTCTTATCACGTCTTATTTCTCTAAGTCTGATTCTTCATCTTCTTCCATTTTCCTTATCTATACTTTTGGAAGCAGGAGTGGCATCCACTTCTGTAAATAACTTGCCTCCAGAAACCCTATGAGCCTGGAGAAAGGATGAAAGTCACACACGTTAGTGTCGAGGACTTTTGTTCATAGGGTCGCTATGGGTTGCCTACAACTCCATGGCACTTAACAACAACAACAACAACATACTTTTTAAAAATAAAATTTTCTTTTAATTGTGATTTTAACAAATGTTTACAGAAAAGTTAGATTTTCATTCATTGTTGCATATTTTAAGCCTTTTCCCTCACCCAGTTCACTTTTTAAAAAATATGCATTTTTTTAAAAATGCATTCATTGTTAATTACCCACAGATTTTTTGATACAGCAATATAGAAGAGAATTTCAGGAGTTCTAATAGACAAATATGTGTGTTGGCCTAGTCCTTAAGGAGCTCTGGTGGCTTAGTACTAAAGAGTTGCACTGCTAGCCTGAAGGAACATAGTTTGAATCCCTGAGTGTCTCTGTAAGATGAGCAATCTGCTCTCATGCGATTTACAGCCTGTGAAAACCTGCTGGGGAGTCAGCTAGGAGCCTGCTTGTCCCAACAGCATTTAACAACAGTCAGCAGAGAGGTGCACTGTAAACCTAAAGGCTGTGGTTCTGGCAAGTCTAAATATACCAGTGGTTATCATAGAGAAAGATGGGCAATCTCTTCCTGTGCAGTTTACAGCCTTGATGTCATCTATGAGTTAGTTAACCTAAAGGCTGTGCTTCTGGCAAGTCTGAATATACCAGTGGTTATCATGGAGAAAGACGGGCAATCTCCTCCTGTGTGCAATTTACAGCCTTGATGTCATCTATGAGTCAGTTTTCAACTTGGAGGCAATGAGAAAGAAAGACTTTAAAAATGGCAAATGCCTCTTAAGCTTTTAGAGTACAGTCGCTTTAATTTTATAGTTTTAAATGCCTCATTATCATTTTGGATTAAAACATTCATTCTTTAGTTCTAAGTTGATAGGATTACACATACTACACACACACACACACACGATGTTGTTGTGTACCATAAAGTCAGAACCAACCCACAGCTGACCCTCCAGTGGGTTTTCAGAGACAGTTAATCACATAGGAGGAGGTAGCCCATCCTTCTTCCATGGAGCAGCAGGTAGCCTGGAACCACGTGCCTTTGGGATTGCAATACAACTTCTTGCCACTAGGCCATCAGAGCTCCCACATATATAAAGATACACACACATATATAGAACACTTGTATTTTAATTTCATATTATTGTAGATTTCCGTAAGTCAAGATCATGGATCTAAATTTAAAGTGGCTCAAAAATGGAAAAAGCAAAGGAAACTATATGCAAAGAAGTGAATTTATGAGTATCTACTAGCTAATGTTAGATGGATCTTAGCTGAAAGCAGGGAATACCAGAGGAATGTCTATCTGTGTTTCATTGACTATGTAAAGGCGTTTGACTGTGTGGATCATAACAAATTGTGGCTGACTCTGAGAAGAATGGGAATCCCAGAACACTTGATCATTCTAATGCCATTCTAATGCGAAACCTATACTTGGACCAGGAGG